ATTAAGCAGAACCTCAGTACTGTATAAGTTACTCTGTATCATGTGGAATGTCATTGATATTTCCCTCATTCATAAAAGGAAAAAGAAAACTTGCGTAATACGCTAAATGGCTTTCTTCAGTCCTTTTTAAAGAAGTGAAATAATGCTGCTGTTCTGAATGACTCATGCGATCTAAGGAATTGGATTCCCTGAGTAAGCAGATCAGAAATACCAACCTTTCTTTACAGGTATGAATCTTAGTTACCTTTGACTCTTCAGAGAGTTTTATGAACTCATTTATTTATTTTATGGTTGCTAAGTAACAGGCAGGTATCTTATCAAATTATCTTTTGAGATAATTACAGTTTTAATGATTAAAACCAGGGTTTGATTTAACATAACTAGATGTGTTGAATGAAAAATTTTGTTGTTTTGATTTCAGAATGTCTTAGTGTTTGTTTGATCTCTTCCTGTATTTATGCAACATTTAGTATTTTATCCTGCTTTGTATTAATTTCTAGTGTAACTTTGGGTTGTAATATCTCTGAAAATGTAAATAAAAACATTTCTTAAAATGCCTGGCAATAGTAATCCCTGATGTAAAATTATTATATTTTATTTTTTCTGCTGTATTTTATATTAATTTGCAGTGCAATCCACATTTGGTCTCTTAGTACCCACATTTCTTTTCTGAGTGTGATGAATATATTTTTTGTCTGCCACAGTTCGGTGTTCAGAATTCCTTACACATAGGAAATAGGACACTTTTTAAAAATTCAACTTATTCTTCCATTTCTGATTTCTGATTTGTACTGTAACTACTGAAACTCTCTAATTGTAAAATTGAAACTGCAGTTAAAATTTAAAGATCTGCTGTATGTTAGTCTTTGACTAACCCTGGCAGTCAGTACAAAACTTCAGAGAGGTTTACTTCTCATTTTCATACATTTTTTCTTGGTTTTCCTTTGTATTTTTTACCAGAAGTCTTTGAACTGAGTCTTTGAAGTTGAATTCTAACGGCAAATATTTTTCTAGCAATTTGACTTACATTTCTGACAAGCTTTCCTATGAAAAGGAGTCTACACCAGATTTGGCACTGAGTATGTCTGGAGGAGAGAGCAAGCAGTGTGGACTCTTTGGGTAGGAAACCAATTCTAGGTAATTTTTAAATAACCCTAATGATAGCTAAAAGCTTTTGCTGACAACCGATTATGTTTTGGAATAAGTATTTCTTCGTCCGTAGTTTCGGTTTTCTGTCGGATTTACCAGCAGTGCAAAAGCTTGCGTATACCTTTGGCTGGAGACAAAATCCTCTTACTTAGGAAGTGTGTTCCCAGTCCTCTTGAGCTGCTCCGTCTGCTTGGGCATTAAAAATACTAGAAAATTAATAGCCAAAAGATCTATAGGAAGTTGTTAGGGTTCCTATATCCACGGGAATGTTGGTTGTGCTCTCGGCTTTCAGCCTTCGTCGCTGCTGTTTGCTAGTCTGCTGATCTTCCTTGTGGTACCCGTTTAACACATGCTAGTCTGCTGATCTTCCTTGTGGTACCAGTTTAACACGTGTTCATCTAATAATGGCAAAGGTAGTGCAGTAACAGAGGCGCGCAGAGTACGGCGTAGCTTTCACTGTTGGTCCCTTGTGTTTTATAGGCAGTAGTGTTTGCAGTCTGAAAAGATGAATCACTGTTAGTTTCAAGTTCTTATGATCTAGAATGTTGCTGTTAAAATGCAAAAAAAAAGTTTTTTGAATCTGTTAAATGTTAATGTAATTAAATTGATTGATGAACTAAGGATGAGACTAATGATTTTGATCTTAAGTAAGTTTTAACTGAGCTGTGAAGAAAAATACAAGTTCTTGATTTCACATTCATATTACAGTAAACAAAAAGTATCAGAAATAAAGAAATAAATGAACTATGCAAATGAATATGAAGTGTCTTGTGAAGAATAGATACTTCTATAAATAAAAAAGCTATAGTAAAGTTCCAAAATGTGCATGTGATTTTTGACTCGGGGTGATAACTCTTGGGTAAAAAATGAACGTCACAAATACACTCTGGTAGAGTCATATGGAGGCTAGACTTGCGATGGTAGAAGTGAATTTTTTTGAAGCCAGTTGTCAAGAGACAACTTACAGTAGTTCCTTAGTACATGGTCATAAAACCTTTCAGTGAAGATCTTTAAAGAATATAAACCATGCCATGTTTTTTCCCGAATTTATTGCTAATTAATCCTGTTAATGCAGAAATATTTATGAAGCCTGCTTATATCTAGAAAGGTAAAACAATGATGAATTTGGAATTGATTTTATTTGCCATCAGATTTTCAGTTTGCGTTGGATTGCATCTTTAAACGTACATGGGTTTTATGGGACGTGCGGACTATAAATACAAGTGAAAAGATTGTCTCACAACAATATGATTTCAGGATCAGAGACTTCAAGGAAAATAAAATGTCAGTCTACCAAAAATGGAACTGAAATGATCAGAAATAATAAACTGAATGGAGATTTAGCTCTATTCTGCTTCAGTTTGTAACTGATTATCTAAAGTAACTAAGCGACATAATAATGGTGTCTACCTTAGAAGCGTAGATAACCTAGCTTGGCTTTGTCATGAACAGGCAGAAGTAGGTACCAGGATAAGTATCGTACCAAAATCACAATTATTTCTGTATTTCTGCTTCTAAATATTTGGTATATCAAATTTTGCACGCACCTGCTTGTTGCACTGTCTTGAACATCAATCTTGTGGGCCAGCCCACCCCGGTTGTCCACACCGGTCCCTGTTGTGACCTTGCTCAAACATCCCCATCCTGTTATCGTTCCCCTGCGTGACCTTGGCAGCCTCTGGGGGGAAGGGGAACAGAGGAAGTTGGTTGCATTCCCTGCTGTCTTTCGTGGAGTTGGGTTGGGTTGGGCTTGGGAAGGGTAGATTTCTGTCGAGTTGGCCGCACTTTGGGCATCTCTTTATATAGTCTTGCCTTCTCAGATGGAATCTAGAATTTCCTGGGGGTTTTCTGCTTTTGCAGCATTTGGGTACTGTAATAGGAGCATGAATTTCAGCTGCTTTAGCCTTCTCTCAGAAGACTATTGTCTGTGTATTATTATTATTATTATCATATTATTATTATCATTTTATTTCAATTATTAAACTGTTTCTATCTCAACCCACAAGTTTTTCTAACTTGTGCTCTTCCAATTCTCTCCCCCATCCCACCGGGTGGGGGGGAGTGAGCGAGCGGCTGCGTGGTGCTTAGTTGCCGACTGAGATTAAACCACGACAACTATCTACAACAAGAGGCATTTGAAAAAGCTAACTGTAACTCCAGCTTTTTCCCGCGGTTCCCGATTCCCGAAGGAAACGTGGTTTATGTCATCACTCTCTGTCTGCGTTCCTGAAAAGGGATACGCTATCTTGAATATGCCAGCCACCTCTGGCCAGATTTGGCAGCAGGCAAGAGAATATTAATTTTCAACCTTTTTTTTTTGAGATAATTTGAGGAGAAGAGAGAGACCTTATGAATACTTGCACTTAAAAGAAAGACAGGGACTCACACTTTCTGGCAGCAGCCAGCTGATCAGTCAGAACATGTAGCTTCAAACTAGCTACAATCTGCCATGTCTTGCATGTAGGTCTCCAGAAACGATTAACTGCCATCGCTGGCATGAAACAAAGAAAGTTTCTGGTAGTCACAACCTGTCACTTTACAGGAAGATAAAGAATTGACCCACAATTTTATGTGGCTGGTTTTGGGAACAGCTGTGGGAGTCCTCACTGGGAAAGTCAACAAGACTATCGCACCTGCTTATGTCAGCATAGTTTTCATCCCAGAAAAGGCTACCAAACTCGACCACAATTTTATGTGGCTGGTTTTGGGAACAGCTGTGGGAGTCCTCACTGGGAAAGTCAACAAGATATCGCACCTGCTTGTGTCAGCATAGTTTTCATCCCAGAAAAGGCTACTAAACTCGAAGAGAAATAATTTTTTTTTTTTTTTTTAAGGGGAAGGAAAAAATTTTTTTTTTTTTTTTTTTAACAAACCCATCTATTGTAGAATTGTAATTGCCCTTGCTGTCTGTCGAAGGCTTCCTGTCGATAAATGGGCAAGGCAATGTTTCAGACCCAATCTACAAAGTCTGGATTTGGCAAATCTGTAAGAAAGATCGTTCCCTGGACAGGGGACAGTTGTATTTGCAGAAGCTTGACAGATCGAAATAAAGTAGGCTAACATTACCCAGCCTGCACAGTTGTGCTCTGTTTCTTCATATTTGTGACTTTCACCAGCTGAAAAAAGGTCTGTCTCTTAAAGCGGGATTTCACAGTTATCTTCCAGTTCTCCTGAACATGACTGGCTTGCATCTTTTTTGATGTTACATAACTGAATTAAATATATTATGGGAAAAAATTTCTTCTAGCAGATAAATTAACCTGAAAGGTGAAGGTACGCTAAAGGCAACATGTTTCTGAAGACCTTTTATTCATGATCAGCATCAATGTCTAAAATATATGATTTAATTTACCAGACCAGATTTAAAAGGGGCTGTAAACAGAGCTCATGATTCAGAGCTACAACAGTGGATCCTTTAATTTATACACTGAATTTTTCACCTAAGACTTCTACGGCTTCAGGGATTGATGGTCTGATAGAAAGCATTTATCTCCAGGATAACGTATTTAAACTTAGTCCAGAAAGTCTGAAAATTTGACCTATGAAACAATTTGGTAGTCCTCCACTTTCCAAATGGTTAGAGGAACTGCGGTGGCAAAGCAGTGACCCCTTGTGCTCCTCTTAATGATGCAATGCTCACATGGTCTTAAAATTCACAAAAATTATTTTAAAAGTAGTAGTGCTGTGCAGTGTTGTGATCCTACCTTTGACATCCCCCTGAGAAACGCTG